CATCCCATCCCATCCCATCCCATCCCATCCCATCCCATCCCATCCCACTCACATACTGTTTCAGTCCCTCACTCCCAATTCTTTCCTCATCCTATTCTCATTCCTCTTATTTCCATCCCCATCCCATCCTCATCTCATCCCCATTTCTATCCAATTTCCAACCTCATTTCATCCCCATTCCCATCCCCATCCTATCCTGTCCTCATCACATTCCCCTCCCCATCCCCACCCCCATCTCCATCCTCATCCCCATCTTCACACCCACCCCACACCCATTCCATCTCCATTTCCCTCTCTAAACCATCCCATCCCATCCCCATGCACACTCCCACCCCCATTCCCACCTCCATTCCCATCCCCATCCTATAATTCCTCTCCCCACCCCCATCCCATCCCAAACTCCCAGGCTGGGGGCTGCCCTGCAGGTGAGCTCTGGGTGCCCCTATTTGGGGTCACCTCCAAGTCTGGCTTGCAAATCAGAAGGATGAGAACAAAGGCAATGATGGGAATGGTGAGAGGCTAAATTGCACACCTTGCCTTAACCCTACTGTTAGATCGCAGTGGGGGGGTTTGGCAAGCACACAGTCGTGCCTGTCCAGAGCAAGAACTTTTCTTTATATCTTTGTATGGTGGTTCCTCACCACAGAACACCAAAGTAGATGGCATCTCAGTGTTAAGAAACACCACACACACAGCCAGAGATGTCCTCTGCAGTTTCCTGGCACAATTTGCACGTTTTTTCACATCTGCCCTGTTTGGCTGTGGCAGCCTCGTCTCTACCACAGTTCTGATACTGCTGCTGCCTCGGGGAAAAAAACATTTCCAAATGAAGGAGGGAGCTGCACTCTGCACAAAGGAGTTGTGCACAAAGGAGTTGTGCGGAGCTGAACTTCTCTTCCAGCATTTTCCTCCGGCTAAAACAACTGCCAGCACTCCCGCTGCTAATTAGAATTAATACTATCTTCTTCCTCCAGCAATAAAAACAGAATGTTCTCCTCATGTCCCATCTGATAAGGCTGCAAGCCTCAGCCAGCAGGGCCCTCAGGTGCCTCGGGGGGGGGGGACCCACAGCACCGGCACCCCCAGCCCTGGGTGACTGTGTGAGCAACTATAGCTTAAGCCCTCCAAGCTTAAGACGAATTTACCTCAAGGGGCTCAGGAAACACCATTTCCCTGGCCTGGCCCTCAGCTCCCTGTTAGTTCATTCCTGTAGTGTAATGTTCCATGTTCAGCCAGCCGTGGGCACTGCCCACATCCACATCCCTGCTTAGAAATAGCCCCAGCCCTGACTCAGCCTGAGGAGAGGAGCAGCTGTCCCCTATCACCCCATATCCCAAACATTGCTCCTGGTCCTACCATGCTGGTCCCAGCTGTCCCAGCACACAACCATATCACAGAATCATAGAATGGCTTGGCTTGGAAGAGAACTTAAACATCACAGAACCACAGAACGGTTGGGTTGGAAGGGACCTTGCAGCCTTCAGCCCCAGCCTTGCCGTGGACTGGCTGCCCCCCGCTCAGGCTGCCCAGGGCCCATCCACAGCCTGGGGCACCTTCAGGGATGGGGCACCACAGCTCTGGGCAGTGCCACGGCCTCACTGCACTCTGAATAAACAATTCCCCCCTAACATCTGACCTCAATCTCCTCTCTTTTAGTTTAAAGCCATTCCCGCCCGTCCGTCCCATCACCGTCTGCCCATGCAATCCCAAAACTTCCTTCCTAAAGCAAAATAACCCGCAAAACGCCGCTCCTGCAAGTCCGACCTGTGCCAGCCCGTCCCTCCCAAACCCCACCCCTTAGAAGCCCACCCTCAGAACTCTCTCCTTTAAGCCCCATCCCCGAAACCCTCCGCCCCGTCTCCACAAGCCCTCCTCCGCATCCCTCTCCCGCACACGCAGCCCTCAAACCCCGACACAGAAACCCGTTCTCCCCCCACCCCGAGTCCCGGTGCCACCCCCCCGGGCGGGGCCGGGCGGGGCGGGCGGAGCGGGCATCGGCGCGGCTTGGCGGGGCTCGGCGGGGCTCGGCTCGGCTCGGCGGGGCCCGGCCCGCTGCATGCGGCGGCGGCGGCGGCGGGGCGGCCGGGCGGGATG